TACTATAAGGTTAGTGTTCAATAAAGTACAATTGTTATAAGGTAAGTACAATTAATATAAGGTAAGTGTTCAATTAAGTACAAATATTATAAGGTATAGTGTGAATAAAGTACAGTTACTATAAGGTAAGGTGTGAATACAGTACAATTATTATAAGGTAAGGTGTGAATACAGTACAATTACTATAAGGTAATAGGTGTAAATACAGTACAATTACTATAAGATGGTGTTTTAACACAGTACAGTTACTATAACAGAGATATTTTTATAAATTACATTCATTATAAATACAGTACAATTGCAATAAAAAAAAATCCATGATGATTAAGACTTCAAAATGGGTCATTGGTGTGACATTCAATATTAATAAAAAAAAAAGCCAACAGTGAGGCTGATGTCCCCCGCCGAAATACCAAAATAAATAGATGACGCATATTAATTAATCTTACATTTACTTTTTTCAAAAGCATCAGACAATCAAACTATACACTAGGTTTCATCACTCTCTATCAGATAGAATCAAGATTATCTTGTCACAAAGCATCGACAAATAAAATTGATTAGCTCTGCTTAGCTTTAGCTCGAAATGTTAATCATTGAACTCAGTCAAGACATTCACCTAATGAACGTCTACATCAAGTTTAAACATTCTACCTCAATTAAAAGCAGTTGTCATGTCCCAAAGTCTTGACCAATCAAATTGCTTATCGCTCCTTAGCCTCAGCAGAAAATTCGCACCATCGAACTTAATGAAAGTAATGATATAATGAATCTATTTGGAGTTTCATGGCTCTAACTTCATTATAACCAAAATTATCGTCCCCCTAAGCATCAACCAATTAGATTGCTTATCTCTGCTCTCTGCTTACCGTAAGCAGACAATGTTCATCATCGAACTCCATCAAGGCATTCACCTAATGAACGTCTGCACCAAGTTTAAACATTCTAACTCAATTAGAAGGAGAGTTACTGGGTTCCAAAGTCTCAACCAATCAAATCGCCCTGCTTACCCTCCGCAGAAAATGTTCATTATCGAACTTAGTCAAGGCATTGATGTAATAAAGCTATACACCAAGTGTCCTCACTCTCACTTAACTGTAACTAAAGTTATCGTGTCCCAAAGCATCAATCATTCAAATTGCTTATCTCTGCTTCTCCTCAGCAAAAAATGCTCATCGTCTAACTCTATCACGGCATTGACCTAATAAACACCTACACCAAGTTTGAACATTCTAGCTCAATTAGAAGGAGAGTTATTGCGTTCCAAAGTCTCGGCCAATTAAATTGCTTATTGCTCTGCTTACCTTGAGCAGAAAATGCACAATATCGAAATTAGTCATGGTATTGATGTAATGAAACTATACACCAAGTTTCATCCATCTCACTTAATCGTGTCCCAAAGCATCAACCAATCAAATTGCTTATCTCTGCTTACCCTGAGCAGAATATGCTCATCTTCGAATTCCATCAAGGTATTGACCTAATAAACACCTACACCAAGTTTGCACATTCTAGGTCAATTAGAAAGATAGTTATTGAGTCCCAAAAAGTGTGACGGACAGACAGACAGATAGGCGGTCGGACAGGAAGACAGACGGACGAACCCATTTTAATAGTTCCCAGCTTTCTTCGAAAGGTGGGGGACAAAAAAAGTAAGTACTATATTATACAGTGTAACATATCGAGTATTAATATCCGTCTAATATATCAAGTATTAATATAAGTCTAATATATCAAGTATTAATATAATTCTAATATATCAAGTATTAATATAAGTCTAATATATCAAGTATTAAAGGGACAATAACACTCTTGCTGGCTTGATAGCTCCGGAAAATAAATAATAGCCTTATTCTAAGTATTAGATGTTTATGTGTCCTACCTGGTGGGTAAATTATCCATTACATCGTATTTTACTTGTCTAGAGGGTTTGAAAATATTTTTAAATCCAAGTCACATTTGAAAAGGTTTACATTAGGCTTTTCAAATCATTTAGTTGAATTTTTTCAATTTTTTAAATTAGGTGTGTTAAGATAAAATTTGTATCATCAATTAATTGGAATATTGTAAAATAGTACAATTTGTTGACTAGAATAAAGATTGGGACATACTATTCAGTTACAAGAGTGGTATTGCGCCTTTAATATAATTCTAATATATCAAGTATTAATCTAAGTCTAATATATCAAGTATTAATATAAGTCTAATATATCAAGTATTAATATAAGTCTAATATATTAAGTGATGGATATTGGCCGAAGATTGTCCATTATGTAAATAGAAAGAACAACCGCATGTTGGACAGTTACTTAAACCAACACCGCATGCCATGTGACTGCCACTGATTGATTTGTTAACAATTAATACAAACAGAACAAGGATATCAATAAAGTCATGTCTTCCAGTGGATATGTTTATTACCCAGTCAAAAATTGTTCCTAGTTATGACAAGAATAATGACACTGACAATGTATGGAGTGACATATTGGATATGGGGGAGAATGGAAATCCAAGGATTGACCATCCAAATTTTTATATACATGAATCACCCATTCCAAAAAAAGGGCGTGTCGCTGTTGCATTGTGGGAGATCGGTGAGCAAACTCAATCGTAGGCCGCCATTACTTTGCATTGAATTTCTCTGACAAAATTTCGAAAAACGCCGACTTTACGTTAATTTTAGTGATGGGGGATATTTCATATGATGTGATAGAGACACAGATGGTTGATGCACGTAAAGAATACCTCAGAAAGCACATTCTGAAGTATACAGATCGCAAAAAAGTAAAATGAAACTCCAAAACAAACAGCTGTCAAAACTTAACCTTCCTATCAATCAGCTGATCGCTGTCACTTTTAGCAGGTCAATACTCAAACTGTGAGTGTACAGTGTTGCATAGAAATAAATAGCACAGGGTACATTAAGAATGCTTAATAAAAAACACGTTTATTACGTTCAGTATTATTCATTTATATATTTTAAAATTAATTACTATTATTAGTCTTGTTGTATGGTTAAGAACAAGCGACAATCAACTTACGCAACATTTTAGTAGCTGAAAAGTGTCCAAAATTGTGTCAACTAACAAGTCCATAACAAAATAATTCAAAAGTTCCCAGTGATTCCAGGGAAATTAGCATCCAATCTTCGGAAATATCAATTTTTGTAAATGTTTAAAGGGTAATAAATGGACAGGTTGCTTTGATTTATTTTCAGTCGCTTAATATATAATGACTACACTTATTATTAATGTATTTTTCATTAATAATGGACAATGTCTAAAAATAATGGACAGTTTTCATTAATAATGGACAGTTTTCATTATTAATGGATTGTTTGTTTTAGACAACAATCCACTCCTCATTATGATGGATTAAAAGAACAAAGGATGCCATCGGAGCGATGGTTTAATATCAGTCTAACATATTATACTTAAAAGTATTAAAATAAGTCTATAGAGTTAATGTATAATATTATAATTTACATCATGGTTAAACATTATATTGTTCTGATTGAACATGAAGCCAGTTGTTCTTGTCAGTCTGTAAGAATGGTCTGGATTGTAAAACTGTTTAATGTATTTTGTATGAGGGATGTTATAAAGATAGATCAGAACATGGTAAGCAGGGCCGTAACTAGAGAGCAACGAGGGGGGCGGAAAGTATTCTCAGGGGTGCTGAAAAATTGACGGATAATGCATATCTATGGTCGACAACTTTTTCACATGGGGGGAGGGGGAGGGACGAACCCTTAGTTACTATGAACCTGGTGGTAAGGGTATCCATATAGTTATTCATTAACTCACGTAAAGTAACCGTTTATTTTTTATTAATTTATACCAACAATATTTTTAAAAACATCACTCGGCATTCCTCGCCCTCCCACGAGCCCTAGTTTAGCCGGCAACCCTGAACAGAAATGAAATGAAATTATTTTTTTTAAATGGGGTTTAATGTCTACTGGACACAAACTATGTCATGTCGGGTCTAACATACGGTTCAATTTTATTTCAATTATAGTTTGCTTGCGCGTAGGCGTCTTTAGCAGTGGAAGGAAACCGGAGGTCTCTAAAGGCGACCCTACTTTGTCACGTACAACTGGGGAATCGAAACCACGCCAGTTGACTCAATGACACAAACCTTATGATACAGCGCGCACACGCTAACCATCAGGCCATAATGTATGTTTAATTATGGTTACCTAAAAACTTAATTCTCAAATCACCCCCGTCAAAATGTAATACATTGTAGAATTAAATATTCCAAACTATCACTTGACCATAGAACTAACTAGTTCTATGACTTGACAAAGTATTTTATCTACATTAAATTTCCCGTCACTTCCAATTCACACACCTCTAAAATTTCACTATCTTTAGTTACTCTGACGTAACGTCCCATAGTGACGTCATCACATTCAAATGTTCGAGCAGTCATACCGAAGATACCTGGTATAAATTTACAGATGATGGGCGTGGTTGTTGTAGTAGTTGGATCAGACTCATAAACCAATATATTTACATTTTTCATTCTTACATAAACATCTGAAAAATATATACATTTTTCATTCTTTTATAGTAATCTGTAAAATAAACATATTAGATACAAAACAGTTACTTTATTTATATAAAATAGTTACCGATAATTAATATATGTAAAACTTCTAGCCAACCATGGCATGTCCATTTGAAAAAATCAGAATAATAAAGATACAGAAAAACATATCTACAAAAGTGAAACAGAATAATGGAGAAATTATCATTTCATCACAGATCTATCTGTAGTGGACATACTTACATTCATATGCATTGAAACAGGAATATGGCGGCATCATTAATTAGACTTTATTTGATAAGGGTTTAAAGGACACGGGCATGTTATGATATATTATTATAATATCAACTTACCTCCCAGATCATCTCTGCGATTCACTATGGTAACACTGGTAATGTTATATACATGTTCAAGATCAACTTGTAACCATGGATTATAATCAGCATGGTCAGTAAGGCTGCAGCTTGGAGACTGAAGAATATCACCATTTCTACTACCATCCACAGCCAGTGATGATGGCCGCCAAGTATATCGAGTTGTGCTTTGTACAGTCGGTTTACCCAAGGCAATGTTCGGTCCATCTGAAATTATAAACACTCATATATTGCAAGAAAACATTATAAAACGGAATCAGGGTTTAGTATATACATGTTGCACCTTTAAGAAATGTTTTGCGTCCATTCTTTTTTTTATTTGAACATATAAGATGAAGATGGACAATAGGTATCGACGAACTTAACCCTTTCAGGTCCCATCATATAGTAGATACAATGTTACAATGTAAATGTGTATTATGGTCAGTATTACATTTTAAGTCAGGTTTAGGTAGCTCTAAGGTCGGGTTGAAGAAGTGCAGTCTTATAGAGCGGGGGCCCAGGGGGGATCAACCTAGCTGAAAAGTCTTCCAATTTTTCTCCTACATATATCTGGTACCATCAGAATGTAAGTCTGCCGGGCTTCTGGTGGTGGGTGTGGTATTCCACGCCCAAAATACAATGCCCTCCAACCAGGCTAGATTAGCTCAAAAGCGTACCACATGAAAATTGTACAGCAGTGTACCTACATGTACGTCTTCAGGTATTACAAAAACACTCATGATTCCTGTGGTGGTACTGAACAACTCCAAACCTGTTTTAGGTGTTACAGATTTCAGCTAATCTAGAGTAGCTGTGGTCAGGAAATTAGATAACTCTTGTCAACGATACTCCCCCACTACAAATGTCGGGCAATTACATAGCTCTGTCAGGGGTACCCCACCACTAAAAATGTCTGTCAGGGTGTCTAGGAACAACTTAACCCATCACATTACCCACTTTATTATTAAAATACAAATTACAGAAAATTTCTAGTAAAATGATGATCTTTCATTCTTGTGAGGAATAGTAAATTCCGCCTTAGCCAGAAAGTCTTCATAAACTGGACATGCTCTCGTATATCGGTTCAGGTAATTGACAGTAAGTTAAATCAACGGAAAACCAACATTATCCCATGTTTCACAAACAGAGCGCGGGTTCACTGATGAGAGAAATAGTTCAGAGACAATGGGCGTATTTACAGATATGTCAACACAGAAAATGGGGCGAATCGACTCCAGAATTATAATATACAAAAAACTTACTTGGAAATCGTTTACATCCGTTCACATTACACGTGTTCTGTGGACCAGAAATATCATCAACTAAAAGATAAAATAATCGTTATTTTAGGGATAGAAACTGCTTAAAAAGTGTTACATTATAAGCCATATATAAACAAAAACAGTCCGATATTTGATAAGGAGCAGGTGTTTATACACCCGATTAGATTTTATTACATACTTCGAGAAGGTATTTGTTGAGTAATAATACCTTCTAGTAGTTTATCGAGGGCTGGCCGTCCTTACTGCACGGTACAAATAAAACCTTCTAGTAGTTTATCGAGGTTCGGGTGCTTCCGGAGTCCAAAATGGCCGCTTTATATAAATGAGAATTTTGGGGATAACTAACCCGAACCGTAACCCTAACCCTTTTTAAAAGACTGAACTTGGGTCTAATTTAGTTTTTACTTCTCTTAAAAGGGTTAGGGTTAGGGTTCGGGTTAGTATTCCCCTAAATACTCATTTGTATAAAGCGGCCATTTTGGTATGAGTTCTGGCTTGTTCTGGAATTTGTTGCTTCTAGTGGTGATAATATTTGTACCGTGCGGTAAGGACGGCCAGCCCTCGATAAACTACTAGAAGGTTTTATTACTCAACAAATACCTTCTCGAAGTATGTAATAAAATCTAATCGGGTGGTTTATACATATTGTAGCCAGATATTGTTAACGCCTTTTTTAAATATACTCTTCAAAATAAGAAACGCATAGTGACATTTCGTCGTCGGTGTACCCTCGCTCTACCATCGCCTCGTTGCAGTAGGTACCGTGACTCATTGCTGAATCAAATTGTTCCCCAGCGTTGCTGTAGCCACACCCTGTGTGTCTAAACCCATTGAAGTCGGATTTGACAGTCTGGCTTGTAGGCGCTTACGGACTGTCTGGTCTGAGATCCTACGTCGTCCAGGAGTTGCTGCTGCAGTAGAGGTCGCTGTTGTGAACCGTTTCCGCAAATGACGTAACCGGATGTGACGATCCAGAGCAGGTGAGGTCACTCTTGTTTGGCCTAAGCTGAGCTGGGCGGTATCTATCCCAAAGGCGAGAGATAGTACCCTGGGAAATATTCAGCAGCCTGGCTACATCTGTCTGGGATTCACCTGCTTGTAACCGACCGATAGCGTTGTTGCGTTGGTCTTTGTTCTGATGTGGCATCACTTGGCTCGTTGAGTGTTTACATGTGCAAATGAGTTTGAAAAAGCCGAGTACCCCGGGAGTTTAAAGGCATTAGATTTGGGTTTGATGCGAAAAGCTTGCGAAGTTGTTAAACTCATGTGTCTTGGTTCAATCAAGCGAAAACAAGTTTCGGCAAATAGTATGACCATTTACAATTAGTGACCCTACATTTAAAACCAATCATGAATTTGTTTTATCCTTACATACTGACATTAAAAACAAGTAAGATTTATGGAAGCAACGACCTCGTTCAAATAAAACAATGATGAAAAATGGGCTATGCGTTTCTTTTTTTTTTAAATTTGTATATATTATACGTTATATTTATAACACTTTTGTCATGGCTATTTATTGTTTGTTTCAATGGTGCTAAATATATCTATAAAATAATACAACTCACCTTTATGGCCTGTTATCTCAACTTCATATAAAGTCATAAACTTTGATTTCTCAATAAAAATCTTAACAAAACGTCCCATAACCCCATCTTGACATTTGATTATAGTAGGTCCAGTTGGTAGAAGTCCAGGTATGAAGCCACAACAGATAGGATTAGCTGAATTGGTATCCACGGGGTTAGAATGGTACAGTTCGATGTTTACATCATGTAAACGTTCAGCTAAAATAAATATTATATACTGATCAGGAAGGTTAGCATGTGCGCGCTGTATCATTAAGGTCTGTCATTGAGTCAACTGGCGTGGTTTCGATACCCTGGTTGTACGTGTCAAGGAGTAGGGTCGCCTGTCCAACCTCGTGGGTATTGAAATCCAACCGAACCATATGTTAGTCCCGAAATGACAATTCTCGATTATTTTGCACCACGATGGGTTGGGTGGACTAATTATCTAACTAGTGCGCTTTAGGTCATAAGGTCGGACATTGAGTCAAGTGGATTGGTTTCTATGCATAAGTTAATTATTTAAAATAATATTAAACGACGTGTTAAAGTCGTTTTCGAATTATTAAACGCAAATGGATAACATTTTCATTATAGTAATCACGTATTGTTACGGTGCGATAGTTATAAAATATTAATTATTAGTCATAATGGCGTGATCATGCTACAAATACATTCTTTGGAATATGTATTCTAATTAAAGTCAGCGAAGAAATGTTTTTTGTCTTTGACAAGAATCATTTAAATGAAATAAGCCAACTGTAACGTTTTAATTTGAACAATGCGTTGTATACTTCGATTTATTTATGGTATCCATAGCAACAAGACAAAACAAAGGTTAGATAAATATAGAGTTCAATGAAATTAAGTAATTGGCCACCATTTTGGGTCATTTCTGGACTAACACATGGTTCAACTCTATTTCAATAATTCGCTTGCGCGTAGTGGTCTTTACCAGTGGAAGGAAACCACAAGGTTGGACAGGCAACACTACTCCTTGTCACGTACAAGGAATCGAAACCACGCCAGTTGATTCAATGACAGACCGTATGATACAGCGCGCACGTGATAATCATTCGGCCATCCACCCCCCCCCCCTCTATTTTAAAAGAGTATACTTACGGTATTGATCTGAATCGAGTGTATTATGTATGGTGACATATAATACATGGTAAATATCGGATAAATCCACCATGAAGTATGGACTGAAATCCCCCTCGCTTGTTCTAAAAAATCTAGATATAGTGTCGCCATCAACAACTAAACTGCTTTCATAATTCTGATCCATGGAACTTTTATAGGTTGGTTTCATGTAGGCTATGTTCTCGCCTGAAAAATAAATTCGATGTTTATTTAAGCATTTACTCTAACATAGTTCAGCTCTGGATGTAGGTCTCATTACAATCGCCCTGTACGTTCAGGAACCGCCCCATTGAATCCTTGAAAAGGTATCGACCCTCAGTCAATTTTACTGGGAAACTTTTTACTTCTAAACGGTCATGTGAGAAAATCATACCTGGCTTACTTCTGTTAAACGGCTTGGCAGAAGCCATTGAAATCTAAATATAGCCTAACGCACAAATTTACTTAACTCGGCCATATAAATAAGACTAAACGAAATTTAGGTAAGCAGGTGAAACAAAATCTGGCCTTAACAAATAGATTTAGCCATGGTTGATTATGTTCATGGTAGACTGTCTGACCATTATAGCGCATATACAGTAGACGAAACATCGTCGTGAGACTGGATAATTTACCACTGACCACTGATTCCTCGTGTATCCAGACATCTAAAGGCATATCAATTATAGTTATAAAGAAAATTATGTTTAAACAAACATTATGCAAGAGCTAAATCTGACTATTGCAAGTCTTTATTTAGGCTTCAAATGTTATAGAAATTATTAATTAGACGTTTATTGACATGCCAAGCTCAAAATCAACTCTGTGGACCCTCTGATGGCTTGGATACAGCTTGGATTTAAACAGTCGTCCATTTAAAACTAAATCAATAAATGGCTGACCAAGCTGGCGTTTACCGTTAGTCACTGACGCCACTACCGGAGACGGGTGATGAAAGGCCTGCCAAGCGAGGTTACCATTGCCATTGAGAATGTTATTTGATAATCGAGAATATTTGGGTGGGGTTATCGTCTGTCAATCAAACGATCAACAATCCTCGTTGAAGTCCAAACTTCTAACAGTGACAACTCCCTTCAGAATAAAGTAATTTGGCTCAAATTTTCAATATTTTCTCCTTTTTTATCATCTATTTTTTAATTATTATAGTAATAATGGCCAACTCTTTATTTATTAAACTCTTAACTAATGTATCTTAAATTAATCACAACATTTAAATCGAGACATATATACGATATAAACCTCATTGTGTTTAGTATATCATGATGGGATCTGGGTGATGGTTATAGTTACATGATTGTTATTGATAATACTCTGGTGAACAGAGTTATGTCCCTTATTGAGTCCCTTATTTTGGACACTCTGTTATAACTTAAAATTCTTTGAAACTCAAGCAAATACCAGGGTAGAGGAATGACTGGTATAGATACAAGTAATACAAGTAAAACGAGATGCGATAATTTTCAGATTTATAGAACGGCACATAAAGGTAAACCCAATACGAAACGTCGTTATTAAACAATAGAGAAGTAGTTATATCCATATATACCTTGTGAAGTTGTGTTGTGTTTTGTTATGAACAATAACTTTGAAGACAAAGGTAAACAAACCAAACCAACAACAAATATGGCGACCGCTCCTTCGCCGAATTAGTGGAAAACAACTTCAATACCACACCATTAGTAGACAAATCACTAGATGTTAAACCAATATTCTTGAAAGACCAAGATGTATTTGGATCTGTGACTGTTACAAAGAATATGTGGTTATCAAATGTAGAGGTTTACAAGGCCATAGGTGTTGTGGTGAAAGCAGAATGCGTCAAAGGAATACAAAGTATCAGACAGATGTGGAGAATTTATATGGACAATGAAACTGATAGATTACAAGTACTCACATCAGGTATCACACTTAGAAGTAGGCATATTATTCTCCACACAGAAAACCCAAGAAATCCTGCTAAAATTAGAAATGATACACTAAGAGTAAGAGTGAAGAACGTACCTTTATCCGCTGATGATGGACAGATAGAAAGATATTTACAAAAAGAAGGAATAGATACAATCAACGTATCCAGAGAATTATTGAGGGTAGATGGAAAATTGACAGCCTGTGAAACTGGAGACAGATTGATAATTTGTAAGGAATTCAACACTCCCATACCAAGATATGCACTCATTGGTAGATAGACCTATAGAGCCAAAGTAATTCACCAAGGGTAACCTGTTCCAGGAGATAAACCAACACATGTATGTAATAAATGTTTAGAACCTGGGCATACTTTCTCTGATTGTAAAAATGATTGGAGGTGTAAGAAATGCAAAAAGATTGGACTTAAGCAGAATGAATGTATTAAAAGGCAAAATGATAGTACAGCCAGTGCAGATAAGGAAGAAAGTGACAGTAATTCTGAGAGTGAAGAAACAATAGCAGAAGAAACAAGAGCAGAAGAAACAGAAGAATCAGAGAATGAGACATCCAGGATAAGAAGAGAAAGGAAATCAACAGTAAGAGGTAATAAAACAACAGATAAAACACAGACACCAGGAAAGGAAAATAAGTCTAGAAAAAAAAGTGACAATTATATTAATACACCAAACCAGAAGTATGAGAAGTCTAAACCAAGTCACACGCCTCCAACACCCCCAAATAAAGACGATAAGAAAAATATAAGACATGAACTATACAAGCTGTTTATCCGTTCTAAATAAACTTGTAATAGAATATTTTTTGAAGACAATAGATATAGCCCTGACAACTTTTCCAATTTTATGTCAAGCTGTCAGTTATATATTCGGTTTGCTTCAAAAAATAATTTTTGTCGTAAATGATTAATATATTTCATTATAATAAGCAATTCGGCCATAAACATGGAACATTTCATTAAACAGAAAGTGGACAGAATAAGTTCTAAACATGATGTGCTAGCAATTCTATATTTGAATCCATACCATAATATGGTTGTTAAAGATGTAATATAGATGTATGGCTTTCGATCATCAAACTGTTCACAACTTTGACCTACGCCCGGAAGTATGTAACACGTGCCATGACTGTATTTGTCACTTGCCCACCAACACCCAACTGTTTGGACGAAATGTTTGTCCTCTCTAACAACGCGGTGTTAAACAGGGAAGACATTATCCCTGTCTTGAAAAAGTTTAGGAAGGGAACAAAATCGGAATTTTCTTTTAAGGAAAATGATGTCCTAAAATCCCTTTCAAAAGACGAGATAATAAAACGTTTCCTTGACACTGGTTGGACAAACTCGGTTCTGGAAGAGGTGTTTGAAATTCTGTGTTTTGATTTAAACACCGTTGAACAGAAGGAGGTGGTATTTCTCGTTTATGCTGCTATTCAGGTAAACTGATTTGTATTGTTTTGACTTCCATATTTTCGTTTTCACCCGTCAAGAAAGCAGTGGGCAATATAGGTCACACACGCTTGCACGTGCTCGCTACCACACCTAATCACTAGACAGCCATTGTGGTTTCGAACTGAGACTATAACAATCTGTTAAGCGTGTATAATCAGGAAAAGTCTGCATAAGATGTATTCAGACAGGATTAATTTTGATTCAGAGAATGAAAATACGCAGGTTTATACATACAGGCGTAAGGTATGAAATTACGATTTTCCCCCCAAAAGGTGCACATTTTAATTTGCAAGTAAAATGACCATTGATTGTGTGGATTTTAACCATAACTGTACATAGTAGAATTTACAATAGTATTTTGTTTACCAATGTACCAGTCTGGTCTATAACGTATATAGTTTAGTGTCCTTAACAGATGCAATTTGGATGTATATTTTTCAATATGTTACTAGATACGCGTGGAAATGGTATGGTGGACTAATACGGTAACAATAGGTTTGCTGTTTGTTTGTTTTTTTATTATCATTTTTTTTTTTAACCCCAGGTTGCCAATTCAAAGTTACAAGATAACCCCTCAACATCTAAAAAGAGAAAATCTGGAGCCGTGAATGACGTCACTGCTCATCATGATGAGGTACATATATCTTTGTTATTTTGGCCAAAGTTGCAGAGATAGTAAG